TATTTCAACACTGCACAACACCCTCTGTTGATAAATTGATTAAACTTAAAAATTAAATAAAATATGTGTCTGTCACTAAACATTTTAACCACAAACTAATGAAAAATGAAAGAAAAAGGTTTAACATTCACTCCACTATTTATCTAGACTACTAATAATTGTAGTTACTCACTGACTCCACCGATGGTCCATCCTCCCCCGTGAAGAAAGACAATAGCAGGCAGAGGTTCTGTTCCCATGGCAATAGGAGCGTAAATTCGGATGGGTACATCACTGACACTGGTGTCCTTCATAGTAATATTTGAATCGCTTGGTAAATAATCCAACATAACGATATCAAATAAACGTCTGGCTAGTTTAACAGAGTCTCCCATACCAAGTGATTCCCCTAGCACCGCCTGTATGTGTTGAAAATAAAATTAGCAATTAATTTTCTCATTCATAGGAATACATAAAACATTCAGTTTGGAGTTGAAATATAGACAACAACAACAACATACTCTAGCCTAAAATTCATTTTCAATATTTGTTCGCCCAAATTTGTCACACAACATGTACAGGCAATCCTGTGTTAGTGACCACTTATATACATGTATAAAGACCACCTGCCTATAGTGACCACTTTTAGGCAAAATGAATCCCAAGGAATAACCTATGAGCAATCTGTGTTTAAAGATCATGCAATAATAATTCTGTTTTTTTTTTCAATTTACTCATGTCAAACATATTTGATTTCGAGAAATTCAAATAAATGTGTTTTGTAGCAACAGTACTATCGTATTATTTTCTGGACATATACCGTAATATGTCAAATGTATGAGTTGGCAATCCATGAAAAACTTCTTTCCCCTTCCCTTCTGGCCTAAATATTTAGGTTCATTTTCAATCCAACTATACTAATACATAATTGGTATTCAATTGGTATTCAGCATGGGGTATGTAAACTTGCATACGAATACATTAGAAGATTCAGACAATGGGCTTTCACTAGATTGAAAAGGAAAGCAAAAAAGCGAACATTTTTCATCTTTAAATATTTAGTAATTTATCTTCAGAATTTTAGTGAACTTTGGGAAAAAAACAACATCTAAAATCACTACATTTACTCACAGTTACTAGTAACCGTGGTTTACTAGTGACAAACACAGCCTCCCCCCCCACTCCCTATATTTAGGGAGGGCTTATGCTTGTTCCCTATTTTTTTTTACCCCCCCCCTATCTAGGGAAAATAAGAAAATTTAACCACCCCCCCTTTCACGGGCTTTTCCTATGAATTTCACCCCCTATCTAGGGAACTTTTCAGTCTAGAACTCCTTTTAAACCCCCCTTTTTTGTATATCTCGGGAAGTGTTTTGAAATACACCCCCTATTTTGAGAATCTCGGGAAAACAAGCAAAAAATACCCCCTTTTCTACGATTTTCTCGGGAAAATGTTCCCGAGACAGGTCGTCAAAAAGTACCCTCTTTCCCGAGAAAATGGGAACGCGCATGCGGCCCCCTATGGATCCTGAGTGGGGGGGGGGGCACAGCCTATAACATATCTAGCTAAAAAGCTCCATTGTTAAACATCCATGATAAACGAAGCATTGCGTAAAACGTTAATTGGAATCACACTCACCAAATGTCTGATGGTTCTCCCTGTGGTTTCCACGAGTCGCAGTTTCCACGGTTCCTCAAACTCTTCGGGTACCGGCACGTAGACATACCAGGCCGTAAGAATGCTGGTGATAAGCAGAATAAAGGTTGTGTACCGACGTCGGGTCTCTGAGAACATAGTATAGACCATTTCGAAAAGCCAAAAATATATATTTTGAATGAAATATTACTACAATGTCATCTTATTGGGGTTACTGTCCAGTTGATTACAGAACTAAACGCTGGCAACGATAGCGAGTAATATCACGCACTGATCACTCTTACTGCGACCCGACACCGACTAACCAACAAGTCTCGATAATTATTCCGTTCGATTGTTTTCCGCTAGTCCATGTCACCATAGAAACGCCACAAGAAGATGCTCGTACATGTACTAGTATACAGCCAAGAACAAAGGCATCCTGCTATTGATCAGACCATGTTTGGAGCTAAAACAAGAGCCCCATGGACCATCGAGGTTGCATTTTGCTGAAAAGTCGCGGCTCATTCAGCATAGCTGGTCAAAATTGAAATACGTGGCGCGTTACAATGTAATCAATGCCTCGCAATTGACCCGATATCCTTTTGAATATCAAACTCGGTGAATACCGCACGAGTTGATGTTTACTAGTGGCCAAAGCCTAACCATGAGTACTGTGAACTGTCAAGTCACTGTGTATTAAAATCAGCTGATCGACGCCTGCCTTTTGTCACGTGATCGACGATTCCCATGGTGCACCGCGATTGACCGCAACACTATATACCAAGCATTCTTGAAACCACCAATAAGATTTCCATACAAACAACAATATAAGTGTCATGGCATATTTCTAAAAAAAGGGTGGGTTCAAACATAAATAAACTCAAAATTTCTGAACCACATGTGTTTAATCAAAAAATACACACACAGAATTACACATGTTGTTCAACTCAATCCAAATTAAAGGCAGGCAGTCGTCGCGCCGCGTCCCGATCGATATGGGACTCATAGCGACGTATACAACGTGTGTAAAATACATTGTTTATTTACATGAAATTTGAACACGCGCTGCGCGACGACCACCGCGCTTTAATATCATGGTACCACAAAATGTTACCAGATTAGTCACCGTTACGTAAAGCGACTTTATCCCTCATGGGAAGGTTGCTCAAACTCCCAATAAATATAAACTAAAAAGATACTGATTTCTACCGTTCACTACAATAAACGACTTCAATTTAAAGCGGACAAACGTTAAATAAATAAAATACAAACACCGAGTGAAAAAATACTTTTTCCGAACCGTATTGACACTCCATAATATTTTTTAATTTGTAAGTAAGTTAGTAAAGTAAGTAAATAACTTTATTGATTTTGTATCCTTATTGGGATATTGAAAATAATACAATAAAGAATGTTGTTTAAATAAACAACAGCTAGCTAACCCCGTCAAATACCCATCAAAAGTCGATCAATTCTGCACGCTGCAGTATCTCTCATATTTTACGTTATTGAAGAATACAACCAAATTATCGGTATAGAGGCCTGGCTTGTACTCGTTACTCTGAAACAGAGTTCACTCACCGTGCAGTAAAGCCGGGTAAGTGTTTCTCTACTTTCTGAATTCTCGGCATCCACGTTCAACATCACTCGTAGTCGTTTGTAACAACAACAAAAACAAGACTTTTATCAAGTTAAGGCACTACTGTTGGTTCCAAATGTACACAAGGCTAGCTGGTAGACACTAAATTACAGAAATGCGTGTTTATTTGGATTTTTTGCATACAAAACGCAATGTATTTAATTCCACAACGACCAGTAGTGCAATTGACACATGGTGACAATTAACTGTCTTCTAAAAATAAATATGTTTTACAATTTAAAGCGGGGAGGTCGTCACCGGCGCACACGCGGGAATTGAGTCCCAAGCGATGATAACAACACACGCTAAAAACGCAAAGGCTAGACGCTTGTTTGTAAACAACGACACTCTAAGGCCATCTGACGCATGCGCAGGTGACGACTCCCCCCCCCCCCCGCCCGCTTTAAACGTTCGGTACCAAAAGTGGTGTGCTGATCATGCTATATATGACATTTGAAATCCATACACCGTAAAGTCTTCTGCTGCTCAAAGTAATTTATAACTACTCCCAGTCTTCCGTAGTAAATGTTTTTTAAACGTGCACGGGTTTCTGAAATACAGTGTAATTGCCTGAATTTAATCACCAACTGACCAACGGTCTTACCGATATTGTCGTTACATACGACTATGGCGGCATAGTAAGCCCTCAAACATAACTCCGCATTGATTTCGCATTCCCTCGAAAACCGTTAATATTTATTTTTACTTCTGGGTCCCATGCAATCTATGTAAATATATCTTTTGTACACACGAACATCAATTTTCCCAAATGAAAGCAAAAACAGTACAACATAAAAAAAAAGACAAAAAATGTAAAATAATATCATGTATATATTGCATGTACAAGATTAATTTTAAAATGGCTCAATTTACACATAATGAATTAACTGCAATGTACATTCTTTATTAATTGTTAAGTTTATCATTTGTTATAACAATTACATATAGTATGAAATGTACAAAAAACTGCCACACGTTCAGTGTCCAATTTGATTAATTTAGAAAAATACACATACACATAAAACAAATATACTCAGATTATTAATACTCTCTAAGTTCAATAAAAAGATGCGTATATTAATTTTGAGGCAGGTACCCATAGTCTAATATTAAAATATATTATATAATAATTTATTGCCCACGAAGTTACATTTATGTTGCTTTTAAGTTTGTTATTAATTATTATCATGCTAATACATATTACAATTTTACCCTGTTTTGTCACCGATACGTTTGCTGACACAAATATTGTCATTGCTACAATATAAGCATGTGATCAAATTCGCGAGTAACATTCTATCTTAAACTGACATTCCTAAGATTTAATTACTATATTATAATAATTTACAAAACAATGAATTTCCTGGTCCCAGTTAATTTAAAAATATCAACATTCTATTATATTATTTGGTAAGCTGGCCATGATTGGTTTAAATTTACATACACATTCGTTAATGAACTTAATTTAAATATAATGAGTAATATCTCAGGCTTTGTGCAACAATTACATTTGTGCTGAATGTGTATAATTTCTATTCAATAACTGCTTATTTTTTGAAAACGATGAGACCCTTAATTGCAACTATTTGCTTGTCGTCTGAATACCAGCTATGTCCACTTTTATCTCACAATCATTGGTAGTCTAGTGACTTCTCTCCCATCCCTTCATGCTCAGAAGAACTGGACGCTCAACACTTTTTTCATAAAAAAAAAACATTGTTAGATTACTGTTAGTATAACATATTACGATTCAAATTCATCTTCCAAAAGACCGTTTTTTTCCAAAGTTAGTTCAACGTCATTCCCTCTAGTTGTGTACGTGTTGTTTCCATGGCGACATTTATAATACATCGACATAGCCGCATACACGACGTTGATGAAGACAATAATTAAAGCAACGTGCCAAGTAAAAATCATAGTTATGAAAGTAGAATTCAACATATTGTCTTCGTCCCATGGTTCTGCGCCTGGTCGCGGATCGAACAAAACAAACGATATCTGATAAAACCATGTTCCTTGTAACAATGTGAATGCAACGCGAAAAAATGACAGAAACGTCTCCCCGGGGAACCACATTTCGATGAATGTTGACACCGCTGCTCCGAATATAGCGAGGACCAATAAAAAATGTAGCATGACATCGAGGGGATGTCTACCGTGCCCATGCAGATAAAATAGGAATCCCTCAACGGCGAATGCCAAGGATAGATACAGCTTGTTTCTACCGGGCACCGTTTTCACGCAGGTTTCGCTCAAAATATCGACCACTCCGCTCAATGCAAAGAATATGTACATCGTAACATGGTGCCAGTCGTTCTGTCCATGTAGTTCGCCGTGTTCGTCCCGTAGCTTCCACTCTGCCGAGGTTCCTTCTACAACTACACCGATGGCACAGGCCAGTACCTTTATTGTTCCTTCTAATAACAACGCTTTTCGGCAAAACACCATATTGGCACAGCGACCACACCTTGACGATGAACGACGATCATTGTCATGTTTATCCCGCTTCAATATGTGTGATCTACAGGCGTGGAACAACCACCATAGTGAATAAATGATGAAAAATGTACCAGGTAGTACATGACCTCCGAATGTGCCTGTAGTCGCCATTTTTGTAGATAAATGTCGTTAATCTTTAATCAATTTCAGTTATTAATTGTGTACAGCTTTAGTGGGATATCTAGTGAACATCGTATTGTAACACCGATTTTAAAAAAAAAAGTTTGAAAAGTGAGACAACCATGTGTAAGAATGTACAACCTGAGAATTGGTAGTTTTATGTATAAATGTAAAAATATTTGTTTCTCTACTGTATTCAATGGTATATTTATATTCCCATACATTCCTAGTATCACAGACAAACTCAACAAAACTATATCCCAAAATAGCAAATTATTTTCTGTCCCAAAACTATGGAACGGAATCAGTCAACCAATCAAAATAAATCAAACAAAGTGTCTTTGGTCACAACGCCTTCTTGTTGAATAAGTGCATTTTTTTATGTTTGTTTATATTCTGTTGTTTTCAACTTTTTCTTTGGAAAGATCAATGTGGACACTCTACAGTTGTATGAAATGGAACAATCTAAACACATGCGACTTGATATCATTGTTTTAATATAAGAGTAAAAATAAATTTGAATTGCAGAGCAACATACTGCCCACGGGCGAATAAAGCAAAGTCATTTGGGGGAGAAATATTGTTTTAATACGAGTCCCATTTTCAAAGTATATATGAAAATGATACATTAAATAGATACCTAATGCGAAATGAAATGCACATCGTGAGTCGCATTATTAGTAACAGGCCGAGATATATCTATAGCTATAAGTGTTTTATTGGTCATGTACGCGCAGTGTTAAATATCGTATCACTGCAAAATGAACAATGCTTGCATGGTACAATCCCGTGCTTAACATTTCAGTCTTTCAAAGGTTTTAAAATGAGATTACCCATGTGTAAGATCTGGTTCCAGAGATTTCAAATTGCCCGATTGTAGTGTATTAAAAAACATAGTGGTGTTTGGAGCGATCTTTCATTGAATGACAAACTGACTGTATGTTTATATTTCTAATGCCATGGTACTCATGCAGGTACGAAGGTTATTATGTACGGAAGTGCATTCTTCACAAGAAAGAAAATCACCAAAACGTTAAAAAATTAACCTTGCATGTTCAATCGTCATACAAAATATGTGGACAATTATTCATTGCAAGTTAATACAAGTGACCGTGGTCATTATCTTACGCTAGGGAGTAAGAGCACACGCAGTTTATATCAACAGAATCAGCTCAGGCAAAAGCAATATCCCGTGCACATTATAACAATTATCCTTATTTCATTATCATCGTGTCTCAACAAATTCAACAAAGTACTTTATTAGTGTTCAATTACAGTATTTAATCATACATGTTTCAGATATTGCTAAAAGTGTTTACGAATATAGATTTTAGTTAATTTGCAAACTCTTTCAAGATTACCTGTAATTGGATGAATAACCCCTTATTCTGGATATGCAAGAAATATCAGGGGGAAATTTCTGTACTCTCTCGGGGTCTCCACACTTGCCAGGGGGGAAACTCGTCTCGTCTCTCTATCTCGTCCCCTTGAGGTACGGGACCGGGAAAGTCACTTTAACTTTACAGTCAAATAAGGCACACACAACGAAATACGTTTCAGCTCTCGTCCAAGTCGATCTTTTGGAGCACTCTATAAAACACAGCGCCCTGGGGAAAAGTCCCCAACACTCTCACAAGGCTGAACCAAGACTCGCCCCTGGACTGGACTGCCTCAAGGCTCGCCCCTGGACTGGACTGCCTCAAGGCTCGCCCCTGGACTGGACTCTCGTCTGCGTCTGTCGTGGAGTATTCGCCAAGACCAACTCAAACTCTCTTTATTCATTTTCAAAACTCTAACCAATTACAAAACAGTAAAAGACTCTAGGGCGTAACCTTCAATCATAAAGCCAATCACACTAAGTACTGAATACGTCATATCTTTTGATTAATCGTTCACTACATTAATAACTATGAATATAAACTGTCAGAATGGCGACGACTATTTCGTAATTAGGTCCAAATCACTGAGCCAAGTTCCGTCCAAA